TCTGCTGCCACCGCCGCCAGCCGGGGCATAATACGGTAAATAAATACGAGCATGGGGATCCGCGTGTGAACGAAGCCCCACTCCCCCTCCCCTTTTGCTTTCGCTCTCGAGCCGGCGCTTTTTTTTTCTTGAAATTTCCCTCTTAAAATGAAGGTGCGTGTTATACGCCTGTGCGTGTTATACGCCGATAAATACGGTATATTAAGAAAATAAGTATTAAAGGTCTATTAAAGACATACTTATTTAGCAACAACACCTTGCAAAACCTAAAAGGGTGGAGTTGACCTAGAGAATAAATAGCCTGTTGTTGGGGAAGGTGAGTGTTGCAATAAAATATTTTGTATAGATGTGCTATGCTGCTATGCTATCCTTGGACAGCAAAGAACCTCACATCCTCTCCAAGAGAATTCTGGGAAGAAGAGCAGCAGAATAAAGAAAAAATACGTTCCAACAGTAATTTTCATATCACTGTTAGATGTACAAAATGGACTATAAATAAACACATTTCATATCCAAATCCATCAGGTTTATTTTCCCATAAAGGCACACTGGATTGGACATTAAAAAATAGCTTTTCACAATCTTTTCTGTTTTGTCAAAGCTATAAGCATTATAATGACACTTCATCATCATATCAAAGTGATAATACTGACACTGAATTGGGAAAAAAAACCAAGAACAATTTGAATGTAGTTACTTTAAGAAAATTTTTTAACATGCTGTAACAGAAACCTTATGAAGGAACTTCATGGTACCTATTAAGAAAGATGTTAAAAGTTTGTTGTTGGGTATGTAGCCCTATTTGGAACATATTTATAGGATGGCAACATAATTAGAAGCATGTCCTGTAAGAAAAAAATGAAGGAATCGAACATCTGAAGAAAATAGTCTTCAGGAAAGTCAAGTAGGATGTTAGCCATTGACAACTATCTGAAGGACTACAATAGATTGATGAAAGAGAAAAATTGTTTTCAGTTGATCACGGGAGAAGTATCTCCTGTGATCAGTATCAAAATTAACAGAACAGTCCATTTTTGACAGGAGACTAGACTACATTAGTAAGCAGACTTTGTTTACAGGTAATCCTTGACTTACAACTCAAACTGAGTCCATAACTTCAGTTATAAGTTATATAAAGCACATTAGCATGTGACCAGGGGGAGGGTGGGTGGGGTGGACATTGGAACTTCAAATCTAGATCATGAGTCCCATTTTTGGAGGCCAGCCATAACTCAAGGACTACTTGTATTGATTTTGCTTTATTTTATTCATTCAGAAGTAGAAATGTGCTTTAATTGATTTTCCTGTTACAAACAACATAAACATGTAATGTTCACTAACTTTTTATGTAAAATGGTTTTATCCAGTTTGTACTTGGAGTGAAATTTAAACTACATAACATTCTGAAAGTTTTAGAAATGTAAAACATTATTTTAAAAATTCATAAATAAAAACAGTAAGTCATTTCAAAATGAGATGGTCAGCAAATAAATTTAATAAATAAAGCAAAGACATGGACCTATATGATAAAATTGTAAAATATTTTTATAATAATGTGCAAACAACCAAAATATGAAAGTTACTTACTTAAACTTATAGTTTTCTCGTTTGTTATTGACAAATCCATCCGACAAATCACGTGGTACAATAATCTCCAGATCAAATGCTGATGTCTCAATTTCATCAACTGAATATATCTACAAAATACATGTACATCTTTTGAAAATATTTCTATTAATTAATGTAAACATTCCATGATTTAGTCTTATATTTAGGTAGGATAATTTTTAATAGGAATAGAAAGATGGTAGGTAGGTAGGTAGGTAGGTAGGTAGGTAGGTAGGTAGGTAGGTAGGTAGATAGATAGATAGATAGATAGATAGATAGATAGATAGATAGATAGATAGATAGATAGATAGATAGATAGATAGATAGATAGATACAAGCAATTCTCATAATACATGTACAAGAGATCTAACTCTAGGTAAAATAATGCCTAAAATATGGGAATGAGTTAAATCCTATATGAAAAACATGCATACTATTCCATATAATTTACCGTAAAATAGCTAATTCGCCATTTGTTAGAAGTAACCACTTCATTTAAGTAGTATATACTTTTGAGTAACTATGAATAAGATTCCAAGTTTTAATTTATTTAGACTCAATTTAGTTTAAGTAGGGCAAGCAATTTTGAATGTAATGCTGAAGTTAAATAACAAAGCTGCCTGCCTATCAAAGTTATGGCAACCAAAATAATTCCATTTCATCACACTTCAGAATCCCAACCATACGTTTACTGTAGCAAAATGAGTACAGAATCTTACGACTCTTTAAAGTATTTCTAATTCGATGACCTTCAGTACTTGTTATGCACTTAGTCCTGCATTTCTCCCCTTTTCAGATAGTAAACAATAATAAAACTGGTGGAAAAGATGGAATAATTATAAATATGGAGATGTTATTTCCTATCACTTCACAAATAAACTGAAAGACTGAGTAATGAAAGCTCCAAACATGCTTTGTTATAATTCTATTGACTTATTAGGG